GAAGCACTAAATTTACTAGACACATGATTCAGAACAGGCTGTGCTTTCAGCTCCTTCAAGGTGAACATACTGGAACTTGCAGAAGGATTTGGAGAGGCAGGTGTGCCCACACTCCAGGGTAGGATGTTCAGAGATTATGTGAAGGAGTTCAGCTTCTTTCATGGCCAACTAAATACCTATGGGATAGATCGTCACTTAGGTAATAATGGTAAATTCTGCATAAAATACAAAACAAAAAGAGAAGCATAAACACATGAACAAAACCATTTCCCTGAAGATGCTAAAGTATGAACGGAGGCAGGCAGATTCCAGAAGAAAGTTGAGATTTGGAAGGAGGAAAAGGTGTGGAAGACCTTTCCTGTTTTTGCGGCTTTTCCCCTAAGAAGAGGTCACAGTTGCTGCTGCTTGGGACAACTGCTACTCCTGTTGATATCTACTCTTTCTGGTCTGAAGGACTGAAGGCCAGAGTTTGGAACCATCACAGCCATTCCAGTAGGAAAGTAGAATGGGGAAACCAAAAAAAGGAGAGTCGGAAAGGAAGGTCCCCACATTCCATGTATACACTTACCCATGTGGTTGAGGGACCCGTGAGCACATGGAGAATAAAATAACTGTACTGACTTGAGCTGCAGACAAAAACACTTTTTTTTTTTTTTGAAATCCAACCAAAATAAAAATGTTAATGCTTTTCTGAGGAATATAACAGAACCCAGAGTCCACACAGCATAGTATTTACAATGTCTGGAGAAGTATCCAAAATAATTTGATGTTCAAAAGCCAGGAAAGTGTGAAAGCAGAGCCTAAAACCCCTCCTTTGGCCATTTCAGTGACTTTCTTGGTGCTCATTTCTGCATTCGGTAACTAGGCTTAAAATATCTGCAGTGGTTTCTTTCTCTCTTTTTTAAAAGATATATTTATTTTATTTTTGGCTGTGGTGAGTCTTCGTTGTTGCACCTGGGCTTTCTCTAGTTGCAGCGAGTGGGGACAAGCAGGGGCTATTCGTCATGTGCACGGGCTTCTCATTGCGGTGGCTTCTCTTGTTGGGGAGCACAGGCTCTAGCAGCTCAGAAGTTGCGGCATGTGGGCCTGGTAGTTGCAACTCATGGGCTCTTGAGCACAGGCCCAGTAGTTGTAGCGCACAGGCTTCATTTCTCCGTGGTGTGTGGGATCTTTCTGGAGCAGGGATCGAACTCGTGTACCCCGCGGTGGCAAGAAGATTCTTATCCACTGGACCACCAGGGAAACCCTGCCATGGTTTCTGTTTCCTGCCCTGCTTCTTGGCTGAAACAAAAGTCGTAGTGACATAGCACAAGGGGAAACTAGGAAGTGTCTTGCATTCCTGCAACCGAGAGAGTGATCATAGGATCAAGAGGAAAAACTAAGAGGTAAATATGTTCAGACAGAGGGATAATATGTATATTTTCAAATGCTCATGGAGAAAAATGAACTTTAATTAAAGTCCTGCCTTTCCCACCTCTCTGTTGTATAAATCTTCCTTTTTCCTTTTCTCAGTTCTTCCTTCTTCTCATCTCTACCAAAGGTGAGTATCAGGCATTTTCTTAGGAGATGCATATTTCATGGTCAGCAAGTTAGGGAAAAAAATCTCTGCTTTTGTGGATCCCTTAACCACTCAGCTTCATTTTAAAATATTACTAAACTTTGGGATAGTTATACTCACCTTTCAGGTTGTTCTGGTTAATCAGAACTCTTCCAGATGCCCTCAAACCAAAGGGAAAGTGTATCTGTTCCCATGAATGGGAAGATCAGGGATACAAGAAGCTTTAGGTATGGCTGAATCGAGTCACTGAAAGAATCCTTTGCCTGTTGTATCTCTTTTTCTTTCTCTATCGACTTTATTTCTTTTAAAGTATTAGCTTCACTTCTCCTACAAATTAGTTTCCCAGAGCTTCAATTTGCTCATCTGCAACATAGAATATCAATACTGCTGTCTTCATAGAGTGGTGCTAAGAATTCATATTTTGTGTGAATCAAGAAGTACAGTGACCATCACATAGTAAGGGGTCAACAATCATAGTTACTATCATTATTATAATTATATTCCAATATGGATATGGGTGTTAAGGCAAAATACATGTCTGTTGTCTCAATAATAAATATTTACTGGGCCCTTCTAGGCGATCCAGTGGACCTTAGAAGCTGCTAAGAAGGGACTTCCCTCATGGTCCAGTGACTAAGACTTTCACCTTCCAATGCAGGGGGTCTGAGTTAGCTACCTCATTGGGGAACTAGAGCCCACATGATACAACTAAGAATTCGCATGCCACAACTAAAGATCCCACATGCTGCAATGAAGATCAGAGATCTCGCATTAAGACCTGGTAGAGCCAAATAAACAAAAATAAATATTTTTAAAATAGCCTTCCTCTTTAAAAAAAAAAAAGAAGAAGAATATTAAAAAAAAAAAGAAGCTGCTAGGAATACAGTGGGAGAAGACAGAGTATTAGTTTAATTCTGAGCATGAGAACATCACTGGTATGAATGTCCCAGAGAAGCTAGGGGTGACTAATATCAACTGTTTCCATGGTGCCTGAATGGGGAACCGAGAGATGCTCCAGGAAGTCTGCCTGTGGGTACAGAAACTGATCTGAACTACAATCAGCACTAAAATTGGCAGAAAGAAATGAGATTGACAAAGAGCTTTGCTGGGGGCTGGGGAGGGGAGGCTGAGGATGGAGTCAGAGGAGAGCGCAGAGGCTCCTTGGCTGATCCCTGCCCCATCAGAATGGTGGCCTCTGTGCCCTTGAGCCATGGGGCTCAAAATGAGGGGACCACAGATGTGAGGCATACCTGCCCTCGTGAAGGGGAAGCCTGGCTCTGGAGTTATTTGCTATCATGGGGTGCCTCTTCTCCAGCAAATGGAACCCACCTCCTTTGAAAACTGGACCTCCCTCCTGCCCTCAGCAACCTGGGCGTCTCCTTCCAGCCCTCTATCCTTGCTTGCCTTCTCTTCCTAATATGCTTAAACAAAAATAATAAGAACTAGTATGTGTTAGCATTTATAATATGCCAGGTTCTGGTTTAAGCAACTTTTCCTGGATGAATCCACTGGGTCTTCCTGAGTCACCTGACTCCTCATGCAGTACTCCCCCTAGTGTCCCTCTAAAGAAGAAGAAGGTTAATTCTTTACTGAACAGGAAGCAAGATCTATATTAGTCTCCCCATTTTGCAGATTAGTAAACCGATGCCCAGTGAGATGAACCATGAGTTAGTTGCTGAGTATGGGATTAACTCCAGATCATCTAAGTTCTGATTTGGCATTCTTTCCAATGCACCTGAGGTCTCCCCATTCTTTCAGATTCCATGGAACAAACGCATGTGGTGCCAGCTGGGCATTTCTTTTTTTTTTTAGTTGCAAGAACAGAAACCTAACCTAAACTACTTGGAACTATATGGGTTCTTACAACTGAATATTCAAGAGGTTGGCTACCCATAAGCCTGGCTGGATCCTGGGGCTCAAACAAAGATACAAAGAGATAGATTCTCCTTTCACCTTCTTCACCTTTCTTGTCTTCTCAGCTGGCTTTACTCTCTAGTGGGGTGGCCCTAGATGGTGGGCCATGAGGATTCCAGATATGTATCCTACCAGCTTACTTGTCTCAGTAGACAAAATTCTGTTGCCCAAAAACTGGATCACAAGTCCTGGGGCTGCATTTCATTGGTTGAAGCTTTAGCCATGTGTTTATCCTGAACCAATCCCCATGGGCCACCATCAGGAACTAAGCTCTGATTGGCCTGGTCTAAAAAAGTTGGCTTCAAGCTCAACATTTAGAAGACTAAGATCATGGCATCTGGTCCCATCACTTCATGGCAAATAGATGGGGAAACCATGTAAACAGGGGCTGACTTTATTTTCGGGGTCTCCAAAGTCACTGCAGATGGTGATTGCAGCCATGAAATTAAAAAATGCTTACTCCTTGGAAGGAAAGTTATGACCAATCTAGACAACACATTAAAAAGCAGAGACATTACTTTGCCAGCAAAGGTCCGTCTAGTCAAGACTATGGTTTTCCAGTAGTCATGTATGGATGTGAGTGTTGGACTATAAAGAAAACTGAGTGCCAAAGAATTGATGCTTTTGAATTGCGGGGTTGGAGAAGACTATTGAGAGTTCCTTGGACTGCAAGGAGATCCAACCAGTCCATCCTAAAGGAAATCAGTCCTGGGTGTTCATTGGAAGGACTGATGTTGAAGCTGAAACTCCCATACTTTAGCCACTTGATGCAAATAGCTGACTCATTGGAAAAGACCCTGATGCTGGGAAAGATTGAGGGCGGGAGGAGAAGGGGACGACAGAGGATGAGATGGTTGGATGGCATCACCGACTCAATGAACATGAGTTTGGGTAAACTCCGGGAGTTGGTGATGGACAGGGAGGCCTGCCATACTGCAGTTCATGGGGTCACAAAGAGTCGGACACGACTGAGCAACTGAACTGAGCTGAACTGAACTGAGTCTTCTACTCCACCCTCCCACCATGCCTAGGAAATACAGAGGATGAGATGGTTGGATGGCATCACTGACTCAATAGACTTGAGTCTGAGCAAACTCAGGGAGATAGTGAAGGACAGGGGAGCCTGGCGTGCACATTTCATGGGTCACAAAGAACTGGACATGACTTAGCAACTGAACAACAACAATAAACCACACAGAATAAGAATGAAGACTGAGTCCTTCCCCAAAGGAAAATAAGGTGTGTTTTTAACAGAAAATTAAAACTGGGTGAGCAAAACCATCATCTAGAAATAGTTTCCAATGATTGTCCCAACATGTGTCAATATTTTATTCTGCAAATTAAATATGGTTTAAATATTCTGTGAGTTATGAATTACAACTGATGGGTATTATAATGTCACAGAATAAACTGTCATTTTAGAAGCTCTAAAGGACAGAACGATGGGATGGGGCACATGCTTGCTGAGATAGGGCAGGTGTCAAGGTCGTGAAGACGTGCACTTGGTCCCTATGCTGTGACAGTCCAGGAGGAGTTCCCTGATGGATGCCACGGAGATGGAGTTTGCACAGCACTGCCTCTCAAACGTCAGCACCCGGGAGGCCTGGCAGGGAAGAGAGGCTCTGCGGTGTCTTCTTTCATCAACAGACCTGCAGCGATATTTACTCCAGGACGGGCATGAGAATTCCCCCTCCGTAAGTTGAGCAGCCTCCTGCAATGTGCCCATGGACAAGAGGAAGGAGGTCACTGGTAGTTCTTTTATTGCAACACTGTTATTAATCACTCCCCCTTCCATTGTAGTTGTCAATTTCAGTAGGTTGAAATTGGCGTGAAATCCACAAAAAATGAGGGGAAAAAGTATTATCCTGTGTTACCGCCTTTAGGAAGAGCAGCCTGTGCTTCGCATCATCTAAAACTGGGGATTTGAATCCATGTAGGTTTTTCTTTCTCTCTCCTTCCGTCTCCCCACTTCTTCCTCTACCCCCCATGCCTTCCTATGAAACAGTCTCCCTCACTAAAACTACCTGTTTTCCAAGAACCTGGAACCATGAGTACTGGAAGCCCTTGGGTTCCTGTTCTTTCCTTGTAAATTGGATAAGATCCAGGAAAGGAGCTTTGATTAGCCCAGTAAGTCATAGGTCCTGATTTTCCGTAAGTCAGTTTCACCTGGGAGGCAAAGTCCTGTAAGTAGTGTGTGTTTCTGTCTCAGAAGAGAGATGGGGAGGTGGTGTGGAAAATGGCTTTTCAAAAGAAGACTATAGGGACTTCCATGGATGTCCAGTGGTTAAGACTCACGCTTCTAATGCAGGGGGTGCGGGTTTGAACCCTGGTCAGGGAAATAAGATCCCACATGCTATGTGATGCTGCCCCTAAAAGAGGAGGATGCATTTCAGTAAGAAGAGGGAGGAAGGGCAGAGAGAGGACTTTGAGATTGGGCATCAGTCTTACTCATGCCTTTCATTTGCAATTTTTTTTTTTCTTATCTGGATGATTCCTGTGTGGCTAGGAGGCATTTGGATGCTGTGGGGCGCTTTTCTCATCCCAAGGGGCTGGAGGCACTACCATACATAATACATCAGGCAGGGGCCAGGGTTGGAAAACCATGTGCCATGGGAATGCATGTCCCACATGTTGAAAAACTGTCTCACCCAAATGCCTCAGGTACCTTGGCTGCAAGACATGATTTTCCTTGTAGGGGACAGAGCTCATGCAAACTAACGTCCAATGTCTCCTCTTCCGACATTTGAGATTCCCACTGAAGTAATCAACAGTAGACGACGAATTAGAATTATCTAAGTGGGGTTTCAGTTTGCTCCACAAATCAAATGCTATTGAATGTGATAAACTTAAGGATTTCACACCTCGCAATGAAATGGTTTATTTAGGCCTTACTGCAGAGAAGGGAATAGCCAGTGGTGGCTACAGATTAATGGGACTTATTAGCATTATGTGAAGGAAGAGAAACTGGGAGTTTGCAAAAGAAAATGCCAATTTCACTGCTTGTAGCAGCCAGAAGCAGTCTGAAGGAGACGAAAGCAGAGGAGCGAAGGCCACCCCAAACGCCTGGGTTCCGTCTCTCCCATCACCTCCTTCCCTGTGCTCCCAGGGTCCCAAGATCAGCCCCACCTTGCTGAAGATTCACCCAGGGAAATATCCACTCCCCGAGAATTTCATTAGGAGTAAGAGAGAAACAGTGTCTTCTTGCTCCTGAAATTGTTCATGTAGATTATAAATGTGCAGGTGAAGTAACTCACAGGGGAAGTGCATTCATGAGGATCAGATCCTCCCACCCCCAGCCCACACTGGGCACCCCCTCTTCCCTGAGGCTTTCCATTGCTTGCAGGCATGCAGATGTCATAGCAAAGGGCACAGAGCAAAAGAGAGTGCTCCCGAAGACAAGGGGCATTTTGTGAGGACTTTTCTTTCTTTTTTTTTTTTTTACAGCTCTAAGTGTTTGCTTGTGGTTAGCATAAACCATTCAGCCTTTGTATGGGTAACAATGTATTGTCTTTAAAGGGTGGGGCCTTTCCAGAGGCCTTTCCAGACCTCTTATTCTCTTACAAAGGATCTCCTTCATGCCTCTCCAGAAAAGAAGAAGAGCAAACACAGGAAGAAGCACCTGGTGCAGAGCCCCAGTTCCTACTTCATGGATGTGAAATGTCCAGGATGCTATTCAGTCACCACCGTCTTTAGCCATGCAGAAACAGTACTTTTGTGTGTTGGCTGCTGTGCTCTTCTTTGCCTGTCTACAGGAGGAAAAGCAAAGCTTACAGAAGAATGTTCTTTCAGACGAAGCAGCACTAAAAGTACCCTGTGTCAAGATGAATAGGAAACCATCCCAATAGACATGTGTTGGATTTTTTATAAATGGTGGGAAATTTGCTAGCCTTTGGAAAGATGTGTCATTTCTTCTCTCAGATGCAGGTAGGTCCTTCTAGCTCTCTCAATATGCTTGTTTTATATATTTTATTTGAATTTGGCTTGGAGACTCTCTGTGTTGGCATTTTTTCTTTAAAAGCCGTCTTTATCCAATCCTGGGATCTCTTGTCACTAATAGGTGTTCTGGGAGAAGCCTTTAGGGTGGGTGGAGGTTCGGGTTATGTCTCCTGATTCAAGCGATCCATTCCAAACCCTTCATCATTCCCTTCCTACCTGATGCATCAAAATTCTGTTGCTCTTTTGCATGACGATCCCAGATGACTCTCCTTTCTATGAGCAGAGCTGTGAGTGGAGGTGACATCTTGAATGTATCACAACAGGGTCGACCCGAGGACGAAACTGGCATCCGGGATGGCAGAGCCAGAAGAGGGCACGAAGATGTCACTTTTAAAGGAGCCAGCCCAGGTGCCCTTTTATTAATGGGGTAATAAATTGCAGCATCCGACAAGCCAGGTCAGAGGAGCTTCCCGAGGCTGGAGCCGTACGTACATTGTGCCGGAAAGGATGCGGGACCTTTACACCTGCCGGAAAGTCTCTGCTTTGCTGCCCGCAGGCGGTGACTTTGAACACGTCACCTGACCTCTTTTGCTTGCCTCTCAGAGTGAGAACATCACCAGAGACAGTCTCACAGACATCATGATCCCTGATACTTAATTTCCTTTGGTTTAATTTATTTGGGCCTTGGGAATTAAAGAACTGGGTGTTCCCAGCAGCCATGCTGTTTTATGGTCATCGCCTGGAGGGAGCAGAGGGAAGGAAGGAACAGCTGGTGGGTATGTCCTGGGCCCTTTTAACAAAGGATCTCATGAAATCCAGCTCAGCAGTCCCACCGACTTGATGCTAGTACTCTTTGCATTTTATAGTTGACACTACCAAGCCCAGAGAGGTTGAATCACTTGCCCAGGGTCACACAGCTGGAAAGTGACAGAGGTGGACTTTGAGTCTTGGTTTCTGCAAATCCCAATGTCCTTGATTTTGCTATTTCTCTCTCAGGGAGAGGAAGAAGAATCACCCTCTCTAAGACCTTCATGGAAATAAGGTTTGTTGTTTTTGGCAGGGTGGTATTTTTACTTTAATTGAAGTATAGTTGATTTACAATGCTGTGTTAACTTTTACTGTACAGTAAAGTGATTCAGTCATACATACATATTCCTTTACCCATTTTTTTCCATTATGGATTATCATGAGATATTGAATACAGCTCCCTGTGCTATACAGTAGGACCTTGTTGTTTATCTATTCTATATTTAATTGTTTGAATCTGCTAATGCCGAACTCCATGGAAGGAAGTTTTACATACCAGATTTTCAGATTTCACTAGAGTTGTGTATTTTTGGGGCTTCCCAGGTGGCGCTAGTGGTAAAGAACCAGGCTGCCAGTGCAGGAGAGATAAGAAACGTGGGTTTGATCCCTGGGTTTGGAAGATCTCTTGGAGAAGGGAATGGCAACCCACTCCAGCCTTCTTGCCTGGAGAATCCCATGGACAGAGGAGCCTGGTGGGCTACAGTCCATGAGATCACAAAGAATTGGACATGACTGAAATGACTTAGTGTATATATTTTTCCACATCTAGAACCACCGTAAAACCAAGATGGTCAGGTTGAACAGAGAATTATTATTATTTTTTGAACAGAGAATTAAACCAGCAGAGGCTTCAACATCTGGCCAGTCTTATGGCCACTTCCAGTTTTTCTTCTGCAGCAGGCTGCCTGGGTGAGCCCAAAGTTGGCCACAAGGAAAGCAAATGACAGAAAAGCCTCTTAGCAACCTCTGGCTTCTTTCTCAGAGATTTGCCTTCATCTCATAACTTCTTATCAGCACTGAATTCAATCAGGTCCTTGAGCTGTCCAGTCGACTTTGCTAGACAATGCAATTCATAAGCCATGGAGATTCAACTCATGGCTTCATTAATTTGATCAGGTAAATAGAGTGTATTTTATTGGTGCTTTTTAGGTGGGCTCCTTTGTTCTTATCATTAAAGGGGGGAGGTTCTAGGGACTTCCCTGGAGGTCCAGTGGCTAAGACTTCAAGTTAGGAGGTGAGGGTTCAGTCCCTGGTCAGGGAACTAAGATCCCATATCTTGCAGCCAAAATACCAAAACCTAGGACAGAGGCAATATTGTAACAAATCCAATATAGATTTTGAAAATGGTCCACATTAAAAAAAAAAAAACTTTAAAAGTCAAGTATGGGAAGGCTTTAGCATAAGCACGCAGTCATTGGATATATGGATTTAACCTGCCCGGATCTTAGATGTGATCATGTTTAATTTTCTTTGTTCATGTTAACTATGACCAAAAAGCCTTGTAACACAGTAGACAGGATCAAAATGGAAATCATGACAGTCTACAGGGATGCCTAACCACATACTCTGCTCCAGGAGACTCATCCCTCTGGGACTCCAGGACAGGTGGTGGCTTCTGTTCTCACAGGTAAAGAAGAGTGTCTTTAAGGTCCCAATTGTTCTGAAGCGATTTCCCCCAACAGTGCAAGGTGAATGACTGCTTCAAAGGTATAAGGTCATGGACTCTGTCAAAAGACCAGAGATTCCTCTTTGAGGACACACACAAATGCAAAGGTGAAAAAGTCTTTGCACCAATGAGAAAGGGAAGTTCTTGTTGAACTAATGTGCTGAGGCTGCTTTATGAAATAAAAATCAGATCAAGCTCCGTTTTACAGATTTGGCTGGGGAGCCTGAGAGAATTACATTACCTGTCTGACCTCGTTAGGCTCCTTGTTAGCAGATGCATAGAACAGATGATGCAATTTGCTGTGGGGGTTGGTGCTCTGAATTCAGATGTGCAGTGGGCAGGCGCAGGAGGGGACAAGAAGATGAGTCTGTAACTTGGGCTGGACAGAGCCAACTGTGGAAACTGGTGACCTGGAGAGAGAAAGTCTTTTCTTTTTCCATCACTGAGGGCACTTGAGTTCAGGAAGGCTGAAGGAGAAACAGGTCTGGAAGCTGCTCTCACTACCTACTCCATCCCTGATCAAGAAAACATATGAGAGCTTCCAGCGGATTAGATCACCTATGGAAAGCAGAAAGGGCCAATTCTGGTAGGTCAGAGAGGATTGAGTTGGGGGATGGGGAATTAACAGAACACTGGATCAGCTGTAGTTTAAAGCAAAGCAGTTTCTTTGAATCATGTAATAAAAGTCAAGAGATAGGTATTTCAGATGTTATGCAGTGGTTTGATTTTGTCACATAGACCCTCCATTTGTGCCATCTCCATTTGCATTTGACTGTATCATGGATGCAAAATGGCTGCTTTGCCTCCAAACATCATGACTGTATCCCAGGTAGGAGGAAGAAAGGAAGGGAAAAAAGCAAAAGACCTTCTGTGGCAGGCATAATTCTAAGATAACCCTCGAAGATGTCCTGCCCTAATCCCAGACAGTCAATATGATGAGATATCTGCCTGTGATATTTACATGATAAATGGAATTTTGCAGATGTAATCAGGATGTAAAAATCAGTTGACTTTGCCTTCCTCCAAAGGGAGGTTATCTTGGTGGGTATAATCTAATCAAATGAGGTCTGTCTCTAGGAACTGAGCATGAAGGACTCTGGGAGGACAGCCAGCCAGTAGAACAAGACCTCAGTCCTACAACTGCCCAAAACTGAATTCCAAACACCTGGATGAGCTTGCAGGCAGGTGAGTCCCTAGATCCTCAAGGTCAGAGCCCAGACTGGCTCACAGGTTGATTTCAGCCACATGAGACCCTCAGCAGGGAGCCTAGTTGAGCCCACTTGGACCTGTGATCTCCAGAACTGGGAGCCAACAGGTAGATGTTGTTTTAAGCTGCTGTGTTTATGGTAATTACTGAGATGGCTCAGGCTTACGGTTGCAAGAGAAACTTAATATACCTTCCTGGGAAGTTTGGCCTTTTATCTGGGACGGCAGGTCCTCCACAGCAGACAGCTAACTAGACTGTGGGTCACGGGCCCACCAGTGAATACCTTTGGTGGTGAAATCACTGCGATGTCTCAGCAGGCTGACTTTACTAGGCTGTGCGAACCAGGGGAGACAGGAGGGAGGAAGGTGTTTGCCAAGCTGGCCCCTGCCTCGTATAAAGTGAATGTAATTATTTCACCAATGGGCCTGGCTTCCAAGAGAGGGTAGGAAGGAGGGTGTGTGTGAAAGTAGCTCTTGGTGAAGAAGGAAAGAAGCAGAATTGACCCCCAACTCCCATCTCGCTTGGTCATAGTTTTACCCCATGTGTGTGAAGCCCTTGCAATTTGGTGTGCACGTGGGTGCTGAGCGGTCCTCATTCCTGCAGCATCCTTCATTTCTAGCCAGTAGGAGCTTTTGGGGCAGGTTACAGGAGCCGTATCTCTGGCCCTTCTGAAAGGTGTGCCAGGCTGTGGCCACGTGGCACAACCAGAAGCAGCACATTGGGGTCCACCCTCGAGACCTGAGGCAGAACCCAAACTCGGCTGAGATGGAAAATTCTAGACATCTGCTGGTGGAGCGTTCTTTGACCTCATCGACTGGATATGAATAGGGCTGGGGGAAGGAGTGATTGTAGGTAGGAGTGGCTGACAGCAGTAGGGAAGGGATGAAGTGGCTGGGTTGGGCTCCCGTTAGAGGAGAGACCCTAAGTCAGCCACAGTGACTTAAAGTTGAGCTGGGCCAAGTGGGGACCCCTGCCTGTGGCTGTGTCACCAGTGGATGTCCCCTGACCCGATGACCTCAGATGCAGATGAACACCATGAACATATGTGGAGGGTTTGGATATGTCCTTTTGGGGGTGAAGAGAAAACTCCACCTTCTGACCAAGGTGGAAATTCACAGGAGCCTGGATGGGGCAGCCACACCTTCCTACACCTCCATCCCCTGGATGGGGGGTGGATTTCACCCACTTGGAAAAACCATGATGGCGTCACTTGTAATAGTTACTTAACAGTGTTGTTTTAAGGCTTCACTCATAGGTCAGTTGGTAAAGATTCTGCCTGTAATGCAGGAGACCTGGGTTGGGTCCCTAGGTCAGGAAGATCTGCTTGGGAAGGAAATGGCTACCTGCTCCAGTATTCTTGCCTGGGAAATCCCATGGACAGAGGAGCCTGGCAGGCTACTGTCCATGGGGTTGCAAGAGTCAGATACAACTTAGTGAGTAAACTGCCACCATTGCAGGTTTTGAGGATCTAATTGGAAAGGAGACATGAAAATTCACAGAGAAGTTACAAGTGCTGTTCACATCTGAGATCTCTAGTAAGGAATCACTTTTTAGAAATGCTTTCTTTTTCTGTGATGGATGAAATAGTTATAGTTGGAGGGGGTCGTGCAGATGACATGACCTCTCTTTGACCTGTGAGCACATTCCTGGCATCAGAGTCCGCTTACCACCCCATTGTCCTTGGGATGGCTGCTCTGCCCTTCCCCCCATCCTTAGTGCCCATTGTGGGTGCTATTTTAAGGCTGCACCTTGAAAGAGCAGGTGTGGAGACCTTGAGATGCCGTGGGTACCTGAATCCCAAGAAAGTCTCTCCATAAACTCTTAAGATGCCTCAGTTGAGCAGGCAGTGATCTCCTGGTCCTGGGGCAACTAAGACCAGCCCTGGAGGGAAGTCACCTGCTTATTAAACCTGCCACCTCCCCATCTGCAGAGGCTGTGTCTTCCTTCTGCCTCTCCCTGCCTTCTGAGTTCTGGAGCCGGTTTAGGATTCCACCTAGGAAGTCTCTGGGTGTGAAACCAGAAAGAGTCATGCTGGGAAGATCAGGCAACTTTAGTGATCATGGCGGTTGTTTTTCAGTTGCTCAGTCATACCCGACTCTGTGACCCCATGGACTGCGGCACACCAGGTCTCCCTGTCCCTCACCACCTTGGAGTTTGCTCAAACTCATGTCCATTGAGTTGGTGATGTCATCCAACCATCTCATCCTCTGTCATCCCCTTCTCCTCCTGCCCTCAGCCTCTCCCTGCTTCAGGGTCTTTTCTAATGAGTTGGCTCTTTTCATCAGGTAGCCACAGTATTGGAGCTTCAGCTTCAGCATCAGTCCTTCCAGTGAATATTCAGGGTTGATTTCCTTTAGGATAGACTAGTTTTCATCTTGGGCATTACCATCGATATACCTTAAAGCAAAGTTATTTCTCAAATACAGCCAACAGCTATCTTAAAATATTATGAATTTTTGTAGTCAGCCTTCTGATTGGACCATAAACAATGACTCTTGAATTTGCAGTTCCTGGAGGTGAAGGAGTTTTAATTGGATGAGAATTTTTATGATTGCCAACAAGTTCAAAACAAATGCCCTTTTTTAGGCTAGCTATAATCCTGAGTGATCAGATAGGGTATCAGCAGGAGGCCAGAAGGAACGGAAGAAAGCTAGGAATTCAGACAGGCTATAAAACATTCCAGAAACCAGTAAGAATCTAGATATAACCGAAATTAGACAAGAAATTTTCCAGGTTGATAGCAACTTTGTACCTTACCCCCAAGAAATGAAAATTAACATACAATGAAACCCTATATGCCAAGTCCTAAATCTTTGAGATGGCATTGCAAATGTTACATTTTTTCCTCTGTCACATAATACTAGGACCTGAGTTACCTGCTTGAACGTAGACCCCTTGAAGGCAGGGACCATGTCTGTCTTGTTCACTCTTTCATCCTCAGCACTTACTATGGTGTTTGGCACAACTTACACATTTCAATAAATATTTGTTGAAGAATATGTGAATGAAACAGTCCCTGTATCAGAGACTCTAACCTCAGGTCTAGAGAGACCCACTGGGTGGAGTCAAATGGAGCAAGTGTCAGGCGTGATGGAGCAGTGGGGACTGTGGCAAATTGATAAGTGGGTTAAAGACAGGCAGTATTCAACCCTGGCCAATTGTTGCCATGTACCTACAAATGAAGGCCTGCGGTAGCTGAATCCACTGAGTTTTATGTAAAATGTCTTAATGCATGAGTGTTGGCCGCTAATTTAATGTTATTAAAACATGAAACAGCTTTGAAGAAAATCTGTGGGACAATGAGCTTTTTCTGACTCTGACTTTGTGATCTTTGCCTCAAAGAAACAAACAGAAAAACATGGAAAGCACTGCCTAAAAATATTCATAGAAAAAAAAATACTCTTGGAAAAAAAAATACTCATAGAAATAAAAATACTCATAGAAATAAAAATACTCATAGAAAACTTGTCAGCAAGTTACTCTTCCTGTTTGCATATTACAGTTAGCATATATGTGTCCTGTCCAACTCTCTTTTGACCCCATGGGCTGTCCGTGGGATTTCCCAGGCTAGAATACTGTAGGGGGTCGCCATTTCCTTCTTCAGGGGATTTTCCTGACCCAGGAATCGAACCTGTGGCTAGAATACTATAGAGGGTCGCCATTTCCTTCTTCAGGGGATTTTCCTGACCCGGGAATCGAACCTGCGGCTCCTGCTGCATCTCCTGCATTGCAGACTGGTTCTTTACCCCTGAGCCACCAGGGAAGCCCTAACATGGAAGGGTGTAAAATTCTAAAACTCCTTGGCATGAGAGTGGACAAAACCTGTAGATTCTAAGAAGCACTGCTCTTTCCTGCAATTAAAATGTGAATGAGGGGATGGGATGAATTGGGAGACTGGGACTGACATGTATACATTATGGATACTAGGTATAAAACAGGTGACTAATGAGAATGTACTATACAGCACAGGGAACTCTACTTTATGCTTTGTGGTGACCTAAATGGAAAGGAAATCCACAAAAGAGAGGATGTATGTACACGTAGGGCTGATTCACTTTGCTGCACAGCAGAAAGCAAGAACATCCAAGAGAAAACAAAAGTGAATGACAAATGTCCTGAAATCATACTTGGAAGATGTGTTGGATTGGGCTCTATAAGGAAGCGAGGCTGCCTGAGATGTTGTCATAAATGAAAAGTGGATGCACTCTGGAATCAGGGGAAAACAGAAGCGGAGAGTGACTGGGGTCTTCCTGCAGACATGGCCCTGCTGACAGCCCAGGCTGCCCTCCCTCCCGGGCTTGGCTGGTGTCAGATCTCAGAGGTACTGATGCTTGGGAAAGAAGCCTTTCTTGGGAGCTCATCGTGTAAGTCTCCCTAAGAAACGAAATGCTCTTCATGATTGTCACCCATGGACAACAAGATTTTGGTATGTTTTATGGAAAAATATAGACACTTTACAAAGAGATTTTGTATGCTATCTGTCAGCTAGGTTCTGCATCAGTGTCCTGAGGTGGCTGCAATAAATTACCACAAACTTAAAACACAGAGATTTATTCCCTCGGGGTTCTCAAGGCCAGAAGTCCATGATCAAGGTGTCTGCAGAGTCGTCGTGCTCCCTCCAAAGGCTCTAGGGAAGAGTCTTTCTTGCCTCTTCTAGCTTCTGGGGGTCCCCAAGCATTCCTTGGTTTTAGGAGCGTCACTCCATCTCTGCCTCTGTCCTCACGTGGCGCTTTCCCTTGGGTGTCTCTGGGCATCTTTTTCTTTCTCTTAAAAGAATATTCTTATTGGATGTAAGGCCACTCTTATCCAGTGTGATTTCCTTTCCAGCCTTACCTTAATTACATCTGCAAAGGTCCTATTTCCAAATATGATCGATCATGTTCTGAGGTTCTGGGGATTCCCAGGTGGTTGAGTGATCAAAAATCTGCCTGCCAGTACAGAGCTGCAGGAGATGTGGGTTCCATCCCTGGGTCGGGAAGACCCCCTGGAGAAGGAAATGGCAACCCACTGCAGTACTCTTGCCTGGAGAATCCCATGGACAGAGGAGCCTGGTGGGCTACAGTCCATAGGGTCGCAAAGAGTCAGAGGCAACTGAATGACTGAGCACACACACAGGGATAAGGCAATTAGATAGGTGTTGGGCTAGATGCTGCAGCCCAGCCAGGGAGACCTCACAGGCAAGGATCTGGGGACCATGCTGGTGCTGTCTCCATCCCCCACTCTTGTGCCCTTGAGTCAAGGTGAGCTAGTTGCAGAGGAGACAACCTCCTTGGGCACAGAACTGGGAGGACCTGTAGGGAAAATGAAGATACCACTCACCTCCCCAGGTCAGAATCAGTTGAGAGTTAAACACAAGAGCCAAACATAAACAGAAAAATCCTTGGGCTCTGTTACTGAAAAGGTAAGCTTGGAAGATGAGACCTGTGGTAACAGAGATCAGAGAAGAGGAGGCTCTGAAGGGAGCAGGGACAGGGCTGGACTCCTCCCGGCCCCATCTAAGAACTCACTCTTTCTCCATGGGCAGGAGTCAGGGAGAGGCAATGGTGGAAGTTACCTCTCAGCCCTCATGATGGATGGCCTGAGAAGGACGCTCTATTCCCTCTGTTGAAATGGGAGTTGGGAGAGTTAAGCAGCCTCCTTGTTAGGCAAAATTTATCAATTTTGTAGAGCAGGAGTTGGCCAAGTACAGCCCTGGGCCAAACCTGGCCCTCCATTTGCTTTTGTCAATAAAGTTTTATTAGAACACAGTCATGTCCATCCATTGACATCTCGTCCCTGGCTCCTTTCCTGCCACAAAGGCAGAGCAGAATAGTTGTGACAGAGACCAT